CATGTAGTACACATCTATGTATCTCCGTGTTTTGTTACTATCTATGCTTGCATTCATGTAGATTTTGTGTTCAGTGTGGGTCAAGGAGGCATGATACAGAAGGACCACGAATGGCTCGGACTAAAACCATAGATGTATAGTCTAGCCCCTCACACAGTGATTGCTGGACATGGGCACCGGCGACCCCCGTGACCCAAAATGGAATAAGCGGGTAAAGATAATGGATGGATGGATGGATGGATAATTTTGGGTGCACCGATTGCAGTTTTCTGGCCGATCACCAATTTCTAAAAAGTCCGACCTGCCGATTCCGATCTTGGCCGATACTGATTTTGTTTTATAAGAGACACTGTCAGGTGTTATAAGATCACAACGCACTTTCAATTTTCCAATCTTATTTTGTTGAAAAACATACCCTTGAACAATATCCTAGAAACAATACAAACTTGTTTTAACTGGCCATGAGGTAGTGCTCTGGAATATAAATGAAGTTCAGACAATTGTTGTTAAAACAAACAAAAAAAAAAAAGGGTAAAATCGGCTTCTCATGCAAGTATCGGCTGATTTCCGATTTCCCAAAATTAAGGAAATTGGGGTTCCAGACGATTTATTGGTGCACCCCTACTGATTATGACACTTTCTGGCAATTTACGGATGCCAGCATAAACAGTTCAATTTTGTTTACCTGCATTTAGTTCAATAGTTTTTTGTTTTTTTTTACATTTTGGCACACAATCCAAAGCCAACTAGTTGGTGAATATGGTCAGATGTTATTTATCACAACTGAAGCCAGGATTTGTAGCATTAACCTTGAATTCTGAGTTTGTCTGGGAGAATTTTTCAAGAAATGTTTTTCTTTTTTAATACCTGAATGGGGTTTAATGGGGTAACTTCCAACCTTCTAATACTTTTTATGCAGATAAAAATGTCATATCTATTGTAATATATGAAAGAAGGAAAAAGAAACTTGAGTGCATGTTTATTCCTAACTGAACTTCAAGAAGACTGACATTCAGACATGAACACACGCATGTGATTTAAGTCAGTCATGTACCAGTACTTACTAAATAACTTCACAACCTTGCTTACTTTATAAATACACGTAGTGTCTAAATGCAACTAAAACCAAAAATATACACAAAAATGTCATAGTTAAATAAAATTTCTTTGGATAATTAACTGTTTTTGGACCTTTTTCTGTTAGAAAACAAGAATTATGTTTTATCTGAGAGAAAGTTGTTTTGACACAGTTGTAAGTTGCAAACAAGTGGGAAGAAGAGATCAAATCTCAAATTAAAATGATCTCAGTGACTGTAACAAGTAAAATTAAGCAATTTGCACGTGTCTGTAGTGTAGACTATAGCCCCCCCTCACCATTAAAGATGTGATGAGGTTGGATCAGAAGTCAGACAGCGCATTCAGTTCATCCACATTCCTTTAGTTTGAGAGACTCTGATTTATTATCATTAGGAGCAATGAAAGGAATCTGCTGGAAACAGTTACAGTGTATCAGATATCAATATCATCCGAGAACAAATGCAGACAATTCATCACGGCTGTGGTAAAAATGACAATGACACAGGGTCAGATAAAGGGTGATTAAACACTCTGATTCAGGTGCACAACCTTGTTGCTTATAATGTATGCAGAGAGATCCTCTCTGTGCGATTCGAGAGGTGGAGAAAGGCCTTTTTGAATACTTAAAAAGAAATGACATGTTCATGATACTTCCGACTAAACACAGAAGAATGGTCTTGAATATAAATGTGCTTTTCTCAGCTGCAGGGTAGGAAGATCAAAACCTGCCATATGCTACATAACATGCCTTAAGTGACAGAGACTGGATTAATTCAGTGACTGCAGATTGCAATATCTGTGGCCAAAAGAAATGAAGAAATGTACTTTGATTTAGAAAAAACAAACTATATATATATGCACTTTTCCCTTCCATCCACGCTGCTTTGATAAAAGCATGCAGAGGATCCTTAAAACAGTCTAAAAGCCAAATTTTTCTTCAGCAACAAGGGACTCTTAGTAAGATGAAAAACAAGAGAACATAAAGGCTGGCAAGAGATCAGTTACCACAGTTATTTTCAAACTATAATCTGTTTTGAAAAAAGCTGCGAGTTCAGCCGTCACCTAACATCAGTGATGCATCTCGGTTCGTTTTAGTTAATCAATAACCCTTTTTTTTTTTTCCACACAACAGCCTTGCTTTGCTCTCTGAGATGTTCGATAATCAAGTGTGTTGGTTGAGACAAGAGTCACGAAAGTCAGAACTAATTGAAAGAGGCACATGTCGCTCTCTGCATGAGTTTCGTCTGTTTCTGCGGTTTTTCTGGGGAACAATCCCAGGGGAACGCGACAGTACCTAATGAGCACAGTGCACATAAATCACAGCGTCTTATAGTCAAGTGTGTGAGTCATACCTGTTATACTGTCTTCTCTCACATGAAAGGGCGCGCTCATCGTCAGCATCGCTGCGTAGCGGCAGAATTTTGTTTGAAGAGTTTTTAATAAAATTTATGGGAGAAACCTTTTAACGTACACTACTGAAGGAGAAAACTTTATGCAAAGTGGGAACAAAATGGTGAAATTCAATCCAAAATTTTTAAACGTATTAGACTAAACCATTATATCTGCAAATTAGGGGCCTAATCATTGATCCATAAATACAAACTACATATAAACAGAGGCACATTGAATTTGTTGACACACTTAAGAGCTAATTGAAACAATGCTTCATTTCTTGTGAAGTGATTCACTCAGAAGCAGTCATTTGGGGGGCCGAGATGGTGTAGAGGCAGGGCAGCCGGCTTGGGACCCGAGAGTCCCAGGTTCGATCCCCAGTCACTGCACATCACGTGGCGTCTCTGGGCAGCACGTCTAATCCCCAAAATGTCCCCCGGGCGCTTTCAATAGCTGCCCACTGCACCACCTGGTGGTGGATGGGTTAAATGCAGAGACTGATTTCGCCATTGTATGGAAACATACAGTGCTGACATTGTGATGACATTATTATTATTATCATTATTATTTATATATAGACCTGTATATATTTAGAGATCGAGTAGACAAATAGCTGTGTGTGGAAAAAACATGATTTATTTAAAAATCTATGCTAAAATGCTAATTGCCATCAATGCTACATTTGTTGATACCCTTAAAAAGACTATTAATTCTTGCATAGTCACACAAAGACCTCAATTAGTTCAAGAGTTGCCTTCAAGGTTTCCATCAGGCACTGAATTTGTTTAATGGGAACAAACAGCCACTGGGTAGTTTGGCACCGTTATGTGTGCACTACACTGAGCATGGACCAGAGAAAGCGAAGACCAGAACTGTCTGAGAAGCAGGCAAATAGGATTCTAGACATCCAAGATAAAGGGAAAATGATACAAGACCATCTCCAGAAGAAGCTTCACGTTCTTGCCACAACAGCTGTGTTATGTGTCCCCGTCATGTTTATGAATTAAGCTCTGCTTCATTGATGGGTCCTCTTCAGCTGCGATTGACTGATGTGACTTTAAAAGGGGCAAGCCCTGCCTGCTGGACAAGTGAGGGACACAAAGGAGAGGCCCAAGGTGTTGGTCAGTCTTGTGGCTGTTGTTTCTGCTCTCAATCTTTATACTCGCTCTCGTTCCTTCCCGTAGACGCCTTGCTTTGCACCTCGTCACCTTTTGTTTGTCGACTGTTGATGGGTATGGGTGTTACAGCCAGTCCTTGTTTATCAGGTTTTTAGTTGCACTTAGATCTGGGGGCGGCACGGTGGCACTGTTGGAAGAGTTGCCACCTCTCAGCAAGAAGGTTGCTGAATTGAATCCCGGCCAGTGGCTCCTTTCTGAGTGGTATGCATGTTCTCTCCATGCATGAGTGGGTTTTCTCCAGGCACTCCGGTTTCCTTCCACAGACCAAAAACATGCATGTTAGGCTGATTGGTAACTCTAAATTGTCTCTAGGTGTGAGTGAGAGAGTGAATGGTTGTCTTGTTTGTCTATGTGGCCCTATGATGGACTGGAGACCTATCCCGGGTGTCCCCCGCCTCTTGCACAGTGACCGCTGGATATGGGCACCAGTGACCCCCGTGACCCGAAAAGGAAGATGCGGGTAAAAGTAATGGATGAATGGATGGCAGATCCTGAACCATAAGGTAAATGGACTGTATTTATATATCACTTTTCTATCTGATCCAAGACACTCAAAGCGCTTTACAACACAATCTGTGCCCTCATTTACCCATTCATACAGCACTCCATCTGCCCAGGGACACTTTGGCAAATGTCTGCTGGTGGAATCGAACCCTCAACCCTTGCTTTGGAGGACGACTGCTCTAACCACTCAACCACTGCCACCCTAGGTGAGGGGAACATTTCATATCTGTCTTTTTCTGTACGTTTCAGCTGGGGCTCTCAATTCTCTGTCTTTCTAGATGATTGCGTTTATTAAAATACATCTTTTAAAATGTTACAATCATCTGGACTCCATATGCTGTGCATCCTGCGAGTCATTCCTAGACATATGGATCGTAACGAGCTGCCAATATTATTAAAAAACATAAGGTTTATGGAACTGTAGTCAACCTCCCAGGATAGGGATGCAAGAAATGCAACCCCAGGTTGATCAGACGAATTTTGCAGATGGTAGAAAAAAAAAAAAAGCCAATGAAACCATTCAAAACCATTCAGGTTGAACTCCTAGATCCAAGTGCATTACTTTCTTATCACTCCAGCTGTCCAGTTCTGTATCATAATGGTCTTCATAAAAGAACATGTAGGAGAGCTCCACTATAGACAGAAACGCATAAATGCCAGACAAGAATTAACAACAATCATGGTAACAAGCCCAAATATGAAATTTGGAGCTTTCTGGCTGGAGTCACATCAGTTGTACTTGATCACTGTAGAATGATACCAACAAATTGACCAAAGTCTGTAATTAAAACATTACAGTTTTAAAAGCTTTGTAATAAACATAGTTAATCAGACCAATGGAACACACTGTGCATGTGACAGTTTATTTATTTACATGTCCTATAATGCAAATACAGACAGATCAGCGGTGGCTCATTATCTGAACGTGTGATGTTTAAGTGCTCCTAATACTTCATTTTCTTTTGCTGTTTTATTCAAGAAGAAAACAATCCAACCAAATGGCTTCTGTTATAACACAGCTAAAATTTTAAACTATTTCTATTTTCTTTGACTTTTTGTTATATTTGAATAAATGAATGTTGGCTGTATTGCTTTCCTCTGCCATCATTGCCGGTCATGTTTTTTCAGATGACAAGCCAAATGCAACCATGCCTATAAATGGCTGCTGGCGAGTTGGTGGATGGACTCGGCAGGGATTTTGATTTTTAGCATCTAGCTGCTGGTTGGGTTGGATGCTTCCCAAATGGACCCATCTGAAGTAAATGGGGTTACACAGTGTCTAAAGGTTACAGATGGTATTTGAAAGCACACAATTTGAAGATGTTTTTTCTCCCCTATTCCGTTTAGAGAAAAGGCTCAGACACAAAAAGTAGGTTTGGCTGGTGTGGAGGGTTGACACTTTAAGATGAAGGTGAATGTTAACACTCAGTTTGAGCTTGGAATCCATTCTCAATCCTGGTCTCTGTGGAGACAATCATCCTCTAATAACAGTAATCAATCTCCTCGTTGGCCAGGACAATAGCTGTTCTGCAGGGGATGTAGACCTGAGGAAAAAACGAGAAACAGAGAAAGAAAAAAAAAGGTTGAGACAATTGAAGATTAATGATGCTAACAAGATCACCAGTTTGGATATTTGGGAATTTTACAAATTCTCAGTTTTCTTTTTTAGAGAAACGGGAAGGTGGTGCCTCATGGTTGGGAATGGTCACTTCTCACAATCAAGGTTGGCATATCAGCCAAAGAAGGGTGAGAAGAGGAGAAAGACAAATAAGAGGGTGACTCTATTTAGAGGGATATTCACATCTGAGCAGAAAAAACAACTCTTGACAGGAAACAAACCTCACGGTTTTGATCAAAGTGATAACACCAACTTAAAGAGACTTGACCAAAATGCACCTGACTTTGCTGCTTCATGGTCTCTGGGTGGCACTGGAGCCAGCATACTGAGCTTAAAATATGTGAACATGTGAATATATGATTATGCTGTAAGCTTCAAACTATTAAGAATGTACATTTTGTTGTAGGTCCTGCAAGGTTTCTTTATTGTTGAATTAATCTGTTGAAAATTTGCATAATTCATCATTCAACTCACAGCTTGCACAAGTAAGTGAACAGTCCGCGAATAAATTGTTATTTGGAGCACCCTGCCTTTCCTAATTTAAATTTCTGAATCAGATCAATATAAAAACTGTCTCTCATTATCTCTAAATATTGGCAGTGCATCCACTTTAAATATGGGTTTGTGTGAAGACGCAATCTGCCAGTGGGCATACGCTGATCTAAAAGGAGTTATGTGGACAAGAAAACAAGAAAACCTGTTAGCAGGAGAAAAAACAGAACAAAGCCTGTAAATGTCAGATTCCCTGTAAACATACAGTACAAAAAGTCAACTTCAAGAGGGCATAATTTTTGAGCAGTGTAGCTAATAAAGGCTTTGATCAATTCTTTTGATATTCACAGTCTCATTTGGCGGCAAGAAGCCATCGTGTACCATTAGTCACTTCACTTGTACGCCAAAGGAAAAGCCAGGCAGACATGAACGATGCTCTGTTTCCCCAACAGAAAACTAAAATAAGTGAGCAGAGTTGTAAACAGTTCAATCACCCCACCGAACTCTTCCAGCCACCCCTCGGCATCAGTAGATCTGAGCTCACTGGGGATGTGTTCCTTTGGCAACAGTTTGCCATTGAGGGAATCAAGCAGCCCGACACTGAAACACTGACACAAACATTGGTGCCTAATTAAACATTAACAGTGGGAGAGTCTCCATGCAAAGGCACCACAGAGGGAAGAAAAGCCCGAATGAATCACTGCACCTGTTTAGACAAAAGCTACCACTGCGCCTAACCTGGAGTATGTCAACAGCTTTTATTTCCACTAAGCGCAGAGTGTGACAAATAGTGATGGATTCTACATCAAACTGTGAACAAAGAGCAGCAAACAGTCCAAAGTGTTGGTGCAGCAATCAGTACAGTTTAATTAACATACTGCCTCACACAGATATGCAAACATACACTCATTCACTGTATTTAACTGCATGGAGTTTGAAAAATGCATAAACTGTGATTAAAACCTTTCTGATCTGACTCAGGATCAGAGTCTTACCTCTATACTTTGGCCAATTGATAAAGGATCTCCTACTCAAGTCATGCTCAGTACCTGATAGATGTAGGGCAGCTGCAGGTGATAAGTCAGTTCAGGCAGTGGTGTAGTCTACGTGATACGCTGTCATACGGAGTATACCCACTAGAATTGCGCCGCTCAAGGTGGCTGCATGTTGGAGCAGCTCTGTTACTTTCTTTCTGAGATTTTGCTTTTGGAAACATTAATTCCTCTTTTTCTGTTTGACGATCACATTGCACTAATCAGTGTACTTTGGTTTCTAAGCACAGTATACAGACCGATCGCAGTAAAGTTATTGTTACGTTGGACATGCTCGCTCCGTGGCTTCAGCAGCGTCCAACGTCCAATGTAAAACTAACTTTACCACAGTACACCCACTACAAAAACAGACTACACCACTGGTTTCAGGGGATCAGTTTCTTGGATTGCCTTCCATTTTATGAGTGGGAAGTTCTCCTTTCCTTGTTTCCATTTTCCTCAGGGTATATTAACACAGCAGAGTTTTCCAAACACACTTCAAAAAACTCCTCAGAGAACAGCTTACTGGTATTTGCTAGTTTGTGAGGGTATCAAAAAAATCTAGCCTTTACTGCTCAATTCGTAGATGTGTAAACCTTAGTAAAAAAGACATGATGCTTTTTAGTTTGGACAGGGAAACTTCTGAGGTTTGCACATGCTCAGTGTTTCTATGTGTATTTAGTCTGATGTTGCCGATATAATTTATAATCCTTAAAAAAAAAAAGTATTTCTTCTCCACAAACTAAGGACACTGCTTTGTACAGTAACTTATTTAGAAGTCCATATTGTGTTAAAAAAACAACATGTTTTTAACCAGTCTTTGCATTTTTACTGTGTACTGCCACGATGTTAACTCCTGAATCTCTCACAGACGCCACAATCAGTGGGGAGACTTCATTGCAGCACACAGAGGCCTAAATAAATGTCCACTCACCTTCAAAGTAAAAGCACTGTCAAAGTCAGCTTCAAATGAAAGAAACTTGTTCAAACCCAACAAAAAAATATTTTTCAGTATATATATATATATATATATATAAAATCGTGTCTGGCTCTCGCTCAAGATGGAGGCATCTGCTCTCCCTCCCCTGTTCTCCTTTTCCTCCTGCTTTTGCTCTCTGTGCATCTTGGAGCTCCTAGTACACATCTCCTGAATGAAAAATACTATTATGGATCTGGTGAGCTGAACATTCAACGCAGTCAACAATATCTTTTCAACAAAACGACAGGGTCGTGGAGAACCCTCTTGTCCGGCTGGGACTAACGCTGCGGAGTTCATCAGAGATCTGTGGGGAGTTTGGCAGCTGATGTGTTTCTCAGTTCTGTCTCAGGAGGATGCCGAAGACGTTTGTATATTTGTATTTATGATTTCTGGGTTTCTGCTCTTTGGCATCGGTGGGTCTGTTTTATCAATTTTTGAAGAAGACACCGGCAGCAATTTCGGCCATGGCAAGGCTTCAGAGTCTGTGTGAAGGTTTAGTTCGTACTACGAGTACTCAAAATCAGCTGATTAACGAGCTAAACCGCAAGATGAAGGTGATTTGTGAGAATCACAGGCCACCTGTAGCTTCTAGGACTCTCCAGCATTTTGGAGTCTACCTTGAAGAAGGCTCATAACACAGATCAGTGGAGTGGAATACCCATAAATCTGGCCATTTTGGACCGGGAAAGTTCCAGCAGGACTCAAGGCTGACAAGAAAAAAACAGTCTGCCTGAAGAAAATCAACAATTGTGGCTTACCTGAATCTGACTCTCCTGTATGGCCTCGGATATGAGTCGACTATCATATTTCTCCTGGGACATGGGTAACTAGGGAAAAAGCTTATGTGTCAAGCACTAGCCATCCTCATGCCCTTTTACCTTTTTCTATCTAAAAGTGTTATGATACAGAAAAAGGGGCTGAACTATTACAGCAGCAGCAATGTGCACTCCGCCCATCTTTGGATGACTGTACGAACATAATGTTAATGTATCCCGGTACAAAGACGATAAAGCTTAATCTGATTCTGATAATCTTATGTTTTTAATTTGTTGCAGGAATTTAAAATTGTGTAAAAACATTTATTCCCCAAATGTTTTTGTAAATGTTAATTTTTATAGACATACAACTTTAAATTGAGGGGTTCATATTTTCGTTGCACAATTGCGATGTGTACCATTATCAGCCAATGAAAATCACATCTATATTGATTTCTAAAATATGTATTGGTCTGGTCCTCTGTAACATTCCTGGTTATGTTTGTGGCCCTTTGGGGCAAAATGTTGCCCTTCCCTGCTATGGCCCAACAACAATATGGCAAATTCACAAGCTGGTTAAGATATCTATACAAACGCTACGTTTGCTACACTGACTGCATACAGTTTAAATGTAGATATCACAAAGTGGCTGTAAGTAGCAAGGCTGTAACTGTTTCTTAGCAGCTTACATGAACCTGCTGATATCCCTGCCTGTCTTAATGACTTCACAATCCTGGTTGAATCATATGGGATATATAAATCATCATTTCATACGTCACTTCATATTCAAATGAATTAACATAATGAGACTTAATTCTCTTTAGCACGAGGCAAGTTTTTTTTTAGGGTAATTTGTCTGTTGGGGTTTGTTTGAATTGGTCCTCAAAGCCTCTCCTTCTTTCTGATTAGTCGTTAGGAGATGTTTACTACTTTACTCATAAAGCACATTTCCTTCCAACACTCAGAGGGAACATCTCATATCCAGGCAACAGCAGCCACCTCTGTCTGATATAACAGCTACTGTGCAGCAAAACCTATTAGAGATTTACAGGTGCACAACTAAACGAGATGAGAGGAAAACTAAGTAGTTTTTTTTATTGTTTGCAGAAAGTTTGCAATCACACTTTGCCCTTATATTGCCTTCTTTCGTCTCTGATGTTCTTTTGTTACCTCATATCATACTCACATAAGAGAATGTGGATTTTGTACTCTCCTTTAGAGCCGAGTCCAGCCTTTGGGCTAATTCTCAATCTGATCAATGCTCAAACACACTGATAAAGGATTCATGAGGTGCTGTGCCTGAATATCCACACTCCTCTCAGACCCCAGCAGCTTATGAGAGCACTGCTCGACTATCTGTGCACTTCCAACTCTCCAGACATGTCTCCGTTTGGCTCCATTATTCACTTAACAAGAACCAACTGGCTGTAGACAACAAGCAGTTTGTATGTTAGACAAATACCAAGGACGTAGTCAGGTAGCAATGCAACTCTGTAGTTAACTAAACTTATTGAAAGAGTAATACCCATTTCTGTTCACAACTAAGATTCACGGTTGCTGTTACAATAAATACATAAAGTAATTCTGGTGCATGTCAATTTGGTTTTATATGGCTAATCTGGACATAATGAAGGACTAAAACTACCCAAATGAAAATTAAACATAAAAA